TCCGCCTGTGTCGGCAATACCCTTCATCCTCCAAACCGAAATAGCCTTCAGCCTCCACGCCGCCCAAAACCACCTCCTAAATCCACCATTCCCCGTGGTGAAAAAGGAGGAAGAAACCCACTCCACTCCCGCCGCCACCACCCATATCTCAACCCCTCACCTCCTCCAACTGCCACTGCGAAATGGAAGTTGAAGTAAAGCTCCGTCTACCAGATTCCACTTCCCACCAGCTCCTCTCCACCATCCTCTCCCGCCACCACCGCACGACCCATTTCCAGAAAAACGTGTTTTTTGATGGCACCAACGCCGAGCTCTCCTCCAACCTCGCTGTACTCCGCCTCCGCTTCTACAACCTCGATTCCCACTCCATCCTCTCCATCAAAGCCAAGCCCGTTCTCCTGTGTTTTGTTTCCTTTTACGAAAAAAATTTTGAAATTTGGTTATTCTTGAAATTTAATTTCTGCAGTGAAATTCCAAGATTATCTGTGTTGTTTGCTATTTTTGGTGGCGAGGGTTGCCATGGGTGGTGGTGCAACCTGTTGGTGGATGCCGGTGGTTAGCTAATTTTTACTGTTGTTCGTTTAGGGGCTGATTTGATGCCGGTGGTACTGTTTTTCTGGCAGTGGTGCGGTGGCTGATTTTAGGGGAAAAGAGTATCCGACGGGGTTGAGATATGGGTGGTGGTGGCGGTTTGGATTCAATTTTAGGGCTGTTACGGTGGTGCCCGGCACTGTTACGGTGGTGCCGACAAAGTTTGCTAGAAAGAGAGAGAGAGAATGGTTGCTTCCTTTATTTTTCTTTTTTGTTTCTATTTGTTTTTTATTTTTTAACTTGTGAATTGTAAAGTTCCCATTCTACCCTTTTGAATTGAGTCAAAATTGAACCAACGGTCAAATGGATTTTGTTGGTTGTAAAGTTCCCATTCTACCCTTTTAATTGTAAAGTTACAATTTTGACTTTGTTGGTTGACCAACGGTCCATCCATTTGGATATCCGCCTCATATTTATTAAAAGTTTGGGATCTCCGTTGGCACAAATGAAAGGTTAAGGTAAAGTGCGCAAAAATCTGAAAGGTTTGGGACCCCAACTGCAATTATCCCTTTTTTAATATCAAAATTAAAACAAAAAGACTTTTTTAATATTAAGTAAACTATCTATATTTATTTAATTAGATTTGAAAAATGAAAGATTAGTTTACAAATTATATTTAATTTAAAAAATTTATATTAATTGCTTATCACGTAATATATACATTTTAAAATTGATG